CCACTCACCTCAGCCTCCCAAAGGCGCAGGATTACAGGCTGAGCCACCGAGCCCGGGTGGCAACTTCTTAAAATAAGACAACAATGAAGGCTGCCATATTGATGAACTCTTCCTTTCACAAAAGATTTATCTGTGATAGATGCTGTTTAATAGCATTTTATCAATAGAACTTTTTTTTTTTTTTTTTGAGTTGGAGTCTCACTCTGTCGCCGACTGGAGTGCAGGGACACCGCAGCCTCTACCTGCTGGGTTCCGGTGATCCTTCTACCTCAGCCTTCCAAGTACCCAAAATTACAGATGCACACTACCACGCCCGGCTAAGTTTTAATTTACTGTAGAGACGAGGTCTTGCCAAGTTGCCCAGGTGGGTCTCAAACCACGGGCTCAGGCAATCCACTAGCCTCAGCTTCCCAAAGTGCTGGGATTACAGGCTGAGCCACCGAGCCCAGCCTATCCACAGAACTTTCCAAACTGGAATCAATCCTCTCAGACTCCACTGTTGTTTTATCAACTAAGGTTACGTAATATTCTAAATCCTTTGTCATGTCAACAATGCTTACAGCATCTTTACCAGGAGAAGTTTCCATCTCAAGAAACCACTGTTTGCTCATCCATAAGAAGCAACTCCTCATCTGCTAAAGTTTGATTATGAGATGACAGCAATTCAGTCCCATCTTCTGGCTCCACTTCCAATTCTAGTTCTCTTGTTATTTCTACCACATCTGCGGTGACTTTCTCCACTGAAGTCTTGGATCCCCTCAAAGTCATCTGTGAGGGTTGGAATCAACTTTTTCCAAACTCCTCTTAGTGTTGACAATTTGTCCTCCTCCCATGAATCATGAATGATGCTTTTTTCTTTTGGAGTCAGAGTCTCACTCTGTCACCCATGCTGGAGTGCAACAGCTCACAGGCACTGCAACCTCGACCTGCTAGTCTCAGGCGATCCTTCTGCCTCAGCCTTCCAAGTAGCTAAAACTACACATGTGCACCATGCCTGGCTAATTTTTTTATTTATTGTAGAGACAAGGTCTCACCAAGTTGCCAGGCTGGTCTTGAACACATGAGCTCAGGCAATGCTCTCGCCTTGGTCTCCCAAAATACTGAGATTACAGGCTTGAGTCACCACGCCCAGCCCACAAATGATGTTCTTAATGGCATTTAGAGTGATGAATCCTTTCCAGGTTTTCAGTTTACTTAACCCAAATCCATCAGAGAAATCACTACCTGGTGGCAGCTACAGCTTTACAAAATGTATTTTTTTTTTTTTTTTTTGAGTTGGAGTCTCACTCTGTCGCCCAGACTGGAGTGCAGTGGCTGCTCCCGGCCACCGCAGCCTCGACCTGCTGGGCTCCAGTGATCCTTCTGCCTTAGCCTTCTGAGTAGCCGGAATCACAGGCACATGCTACCATGACCAGCTGATTTTTGATTTATTGTAGAGATGAGGTCTCGCCAAGTTGCCCAGGCGGGTCTTGAACCCGCGGGCTCAGGCAATCCACTCACCTCAGCCTCCCAAGGCGCGGGATTACAGGCTACAAAATGTATTTCTTAAGTAGTAAGACCTGAAAGTAGAAACTACTCCGTGACTCATAGGGTAAAGATTGTTTGCAGGCATGAGACACCTCCATCACAGCTCTTGGGTGGCTAGGTGCACTGTCCATGAACAGTGATCTATAGAGAGCACAGGCGGAGTCAATTTAGTATCACTCTTAAGGATTTTTGGAGCAGTCAATAAGCACTGGCTCCAACTCAAAGTCACCAGCTGCATTAGCCCCTAAGAAGACAGTCAGTTTGTCCCTTAAAGCTTTGAAGCCAGGTACTGACTTTTCTCTAGCTAGGAAAGTCCTAGATAGCATGTACTTCCGGAAGAAGGCTGCTTTATCTACAATGAAAATCTACTATTTAGTGTAGCCACCTTCATCAATGACCTCAGCTAGATCTTCTGGATAACTCGCTGCAGCTTCTCTCAGCACTTGCCACTTCACCTTGCACACTTATGTTATGGAAAGAGCGTCTTTCTTAAACCTCATGAACCAACTTCAGCTGGCTCCCAACTTTTCTTCTGTGGCTTCCTCACCTCTCAGCCTTTACAGAATTGAAGAGAGTGAGGGACTTGCTCTGGATTAGGTTTTGGCTTAACAGAATGCTATGGCTGGTTTATCACCTATCCAGACCACTAAAACTTTCTCCACGTCAGCAATAAGGCAGTCTCAGTTTCTTATCATTCTGTGTTCACTGTAGCAGCACCAGGAAGGTCCTTCAGGAGGTATACCAGACGGCACTGTTACCATAGATGACAGCTCTATGCATGTTATTAACCTTGAAGATCTTCCAGTGGGACAAGATATGGAGGTAGAAGACAGTGATACTGATGATTCCAACCCTGTACAGGCCTAAGCGAATGTGTATGCTCGTCGTAGATTTTAACATAAAAGTTTAAAAAGAAAAAACAAACAAAAAAACCCGAAAGTCAGTATTTTTGTACAGCTATTTAATTGTGTTTTAAGCCAAATATTATTACAAGAGTCAAAAAGTCTTTTAAGCCGGGTTCGGTGGCTCAGCCTGTAATCCCGCGCCTTTGGGAGGCTGAGCCTGTGGGTTCGAGACCCGCCTGGGCAGCAAGACCTCATCTCTACAATAAATCAAAAAATTAGCTGGGTGTGGTAGTGCACGCCTGTAATTCCGGCTACTCGGAAGGCTGAGGCAGAAGGATGGCTGGAGCCCAGCAGGTCGAGGCTGCAGTGGCCAGGAATGGCCACTGCACTCCAGTCTGGGCAACAGAGTGAGACTCCAACTCAAAAAAAAAAAAAAAAAAAAAGTCTTTTAAAAATTTTTAAGTTTATGAAGTAAAAATGTCACAGTAAGCTAAGGTTATTTTACTATTGAAGAAAACTTTGTTTATCAATTTATGTAGCCTAAGTGGACAGTGTTTATAAAAGCTACAGCAGTGTACAGTAACATCCTAGGCCTTCACATTCACTCAGCACTCACTCACTCGCTCACCTGCAAGTCCCATTCATGCGTCCTGTACAGGTGGACCATTTTTTATCTTTTATATCTTATTTTCACTTTTTACCTTTTCTATGTTTAAGTATGTTTAGACACACAAATTCCTACCAATGTGTTACGATTATATTCAGAATAGTAATATGCCATACAGGTTTGTAGCCCAGTAGCAAGAGGCTGTACCATAGCCTAGGTGTGTAGTAGGCTAGACCACCTAGGTTTGAGTAGGAACACGAGGATGTTTACACACGATGAAATCACCTAGCGATGCATTTCTCAGAACACATCCTTGCTGATAAGTGACACATGACCACAGGAGCTCCATCAACTGACTCTTTTTCAAGGCTCATACTTTGTGGCACCCCATGCATATGGACGTAACTAAAATGGCTTTTCCCTGTTTATCTATCTATTGCTAGTTCATTTCATAGACTCGATAATCAAACCTTCAGAGGGTGGAGAGATTCCCCTCTCCAGTAACTCACCCACATGCACAGAAGTGGCAGGGCTGGTGCCAGCACTTACCGTCATGCAGCCTGACCCTGGTCTGCTTCCCTAGCCACATGCCCTACTGCCTCAGGTGGGCTTGAGAGCCACCCAGGCAAATCCACGCAAACCCAAGAGACTCCTAACCCAGTGGGGCTTCCTTCTGGGCCGGGCACCCACAGACCTCAGCTCAGGGCCAACCTCTACCTGTGAAGTGGAGAATCTCCGTCCACTGCTTGCAGATGTAGATCTGGACATCCGTGCCTCCAAGGGCCAAGTAGGTGCCACTCTGGTCGAAGATCAGTGACTTCACCTGCCAGACCCAGAAGAAGGTTAAACAGGGGAAAAGGAATTGCGGGGCAGCTGGGGACAAACAGAGCAGCTCAGATCAGTTCAGTACATAATCAAAAGAAGAGAAGCAACCGAGAGCTGGGGAGGAAGAGGACACACCTCAAAGTTGTTATCCAGCTGCAACGTCTTAAAGTTTTTAAGCTTGCGCAGATCCCAGAGCTTGACAGAGGAGTCGTCAGCTGCTGTGGCCAGGTAGTAGCCGTTCTCAGAGAAAGCGATACTGGTGATGGGGCCTGAGTGGCCAGGGAAATTGGCCACATTAGTGCGCTCCTACAGTTGGGGGTGGGTAGTAAAATAAGTCACCAACTGATCATAAGGAAGAAAACGAGGCTCAGCAAACTCCTCCCTGAGAGGCCCTGCCAGGAAAGACAGCCAGCATGATTGGCAAGGGTGGGCAGCTGGGCCCAGGGCTCCCCCAACCACACCCATCACATCACATGTGCAGAGTCAATGCCTCTCCTCCCTTGGGACACCACCAGGGTCAGGTGCCATAAGCACCTAGTCAGCACCACACCATCTCAGCCTTCTGGCCCTGGGCCTCAGATGGGGGTCTACTGTGTCCTACCTTCAAGTCCCAAATCTTGATCTGAGAGTCCATGGTTCCTGTTCCGAAGATGAGTCCATCAGGATGGAACTGTGCACAGGTGAGAGCTATAGAGAAGGGAGAGGATCTGTGGTCAGAACCATTGGGCAAACAAAAGGAGCAGCGAGAACAAGGCTCCTTGCTCCTCACGGGCCTCATGTGCCCAGCACACAGCCTGGCACCAGGGGGGTGTGGGCACTCAGTGCATCTTTAGAAGCAGCAAATGAGCAAGTAACTAAACGAAACACACAAATAAATGAAACACAGCTCACAAAAGAGCCCAGAACCTGTGAGGCAACTTACAGCAGCCCGAGGTCTCATCTGTCACTTTGGTGAGTACACGCCCTGTCTGGATGTCAGAGAAAGCCCAGTACTGAAAAAAAGAAGACAAATGGGGCCAATGAGCAAGTGGGTCCTCAGGTTCTGGTGGCCCTTCAGAAAAGCAGACTCTGGGTTCAGCAACCCTTGCAAAGCCAGTGCTCCCAGCAGAAAAAAACCTTCTCCTCCAAGGATCTGGGAGCCACTGGGGTTAGTCAGATGGCCCCTCCTCCCAGAATGGCAACCAGCAACCTCTAAGAGTCCTGGCTGGGTCCGCACCTGGTCATCGGAGGAGCTCAGGAGATAGTCACCAGTGGCATGGAGGCTGAGGCCTGTCACAGCGCTCTCATGGGCCCGAACAACCTGAACACAGGAGGCGTTCGGGACTGACCAAATCCTGATAGTGGCATCTGGGGAGGCAGAAAACACCAGGTCCTAAAAGAAAAGCAAAAAGGCAAAATATTAGAGCCAGAGAAGACAGACCCCAACGATCTTACAAAGGGGACTGGGAATGGCCACAGCTACCAACAACTGCTTCTCCTTTCAGCCCTGCCCTCCCTGGAAGCACCCATCCATCCAGAGACGCCTAGGATGTCAACAGTAAACACTATTAAAATGGCAATGCCAACAGCATCAGGCCTTGTGGAGGCCTCGCCATCTGGTGGTGAAAAGGGTAACTGCAACAGAGAGCACGAAAGGAGAAATGCAGCTAGTACAAACAAGAAACTGATTTTTGTATTTTATTTAATTAAAAATTTTGAAATGGGCTGAGGTTGTATTTTAGTGTGCCCATAATTATGGATTCCCAGGGAAATTAATTTTCCAGGAGACCTGGGGTAGGGAGAGAACTTATATAGTAGCACTAACCAATGACTCTGGTCAGTTAGGACACTAAAAGTCATAAGGTTAAAAATGACCATCTTTTGTCAACGCAATTTCACAAAACATAGCCACTTATACCACGTAAGCAAGAAAAAGTGCTTTCAACTCAAGTAAATGTAGTTTCATGGGAAATTCACACACTATTCTTCTATTCCTCACTACCCAAGGCCCAAGGGACGCATAGAGCCAGTCGCTGTCGGGCAGTCCCCAACCCAGACTGTCCTGGGCTTAAGGCTCAAATCTCTCAAAGCACTAATCTCACAAGCTACCTTTACCTTCAAAAACAGAGGTTCTCTATCAATTTTTATCCCACACAGCTTTCAACAGTCAACATCGATTTTTTGTTTTGTTTTGTTTTTATTTTTGAGTTGGAGTCTCACTCTGTTGTCTAGGCTGGAGTGCAGTGGCACACTCACAGCCACCCCAGCCTCAACCTGCCGGGCTCAGGCGATCCTTCCATTTCAACCTTCCAAGTAGCTGGAACTACAGGCATGTGCCACCACACCCGGCTAGTTTTTTTGATTTATTGTAGAGACGAGGTCTCGTCAAGTTGCCCAGGCTGGTCTCGAACCCCTGAGCTCAGGCAATCCTCTTACCTCTACCTCCCAAAATGCTGAGATTACAAGCGTGAGCCATCAAGCCTGGCTCAACATCAAGTTTTTACCCCTCTTTCTATCTGGGAAAGCAGATATATCTGTGAGTCAAGATTGTGTTGAGCTTTGTTCTCTGCAGTTTATATTATGAACATCATAAGGCTTCTTTTCTTCCCCTAATATAAAACATTTCAACTAATATGCGTTGTCAAACTACACGCTTCCCTTCTCCCCTGGTCTGACAACCACTGCATTAGAAGGTCCTACATAGACTGAAGGGCAACTCCCACGACTCCAAACTGTGGCCCCTCTAAATGCCTACTCTTGGGGTCAGAACTCCCTCTCAGCCCCACTTCACCAAGGACACAGGATAGAGTGGGGGCTGACCAACTCAAACAGGGTTCAGGAAAAGGGGCCGACGGGGCTAGAAGAAGCCCTTACCTGGGAAGGGTGAAATACCACACTGGTGACCTTCTTGGTATGGCCTTTGAGGGTGGCCAGGATTTGCTCAGAGCTCTTGTCAAAGACGACAACATTCTTATCTGCCCCACCTGAATGATACCAAAAATGAATCGGCCTCCCCAGGCCCTTCTGCTCAAGAAGGCACTTTTGTCCCCAGGCTCACAAAGAGGACAAGCAGCAGGCACCCACCCCTGCGCCCCTCCCGCCTCAGCCTGCTGGGCTGGTCCAGACACTCACCAGTGAGGATCTTGTTGGTATCAGCGGGGCAGAGGTCCAGGGCCAGAATCCCGGGAATGCTGGCGCTGTGCAGTCCCTTGGCAGAGAGAGCCACAGCAAGCGCTATCACAGCCAAATCATAGCAGGCCACAAAGCCACATGCCTCCCTCACTGCCACCCCTTCTGTCAGGGAAACAGTGTCACTTCTATTCCTTATCCATTCTGCTTGGCTTTCTGCCTGATGCGGTAACTCCCTCACTGTGGGACTGGGAAACCCAGAACTGGGCAGGAAGGCGGGCCCCGACAACTCAGCAGCCAGGCAAGAAGCCTGGCCAGAGAACCTGGCAACCTTCCCCTCACTGCTCTCCAAGCCGGCCTGGCCCACCCTAGCACAGTACAAGAGGCTGGCCTCCAAGGCGGTGGGGGCCAGTCACTCACCACGTGGGAGGCCACCTGCCGGTATTTGCTGAGCTCTTCTGGCTTCACCAGCTCCTCAGGCACAGTCTTCCCTCTCTGAAAAATGAAAAGCCCCCCAAAAGCAGCATTGAAGGCAAGATTCAGCCACACGCCTCCCAAGGGGTAAACTGCCTCCCATCAATCTAGCGCTCCCTCCTGGTTCCAGAAGAGGACTCACCTTCTTACGCTCCGTGGTTAGCACAGTAGCCTTGTCTTGAAGCTGGGGAAGAACAGGCTCAGTTGAGACAAAAGCACCTAGACGCTGGTCACATCTGTACTCTCCTAAGTCGAGAGCTTACCTGCCAATGTCTGCTAAAGGCAATCATCTGATCTCTTTCTACTTACACCCCAATGTACCAGGTGGGTGTGGATGACCTTTTTTTACAGGTGAGGCACTGAGTCTCAGAGAAGGGAGGTCACAGAGGTGATAAATGGCAGAGCAAGGATATGAACCAGGTCTGTTGAGCCCCCACAGTTCTATGCTACTAAGACAAGAGCTGAGGTGCAGCTTGACAATCTGAACTACTTAGAAAGACACTATCAAGCCCCACAAATGAGGCTTCTGTGTGCACAAGAAAGTACTGGACTCGGAATCAGGAGCCCCTTCTGCCTCTAATGAGATGTGTCTTTATCTGTAAAATAAAGATACTTCCTGTCCTGGCTCTCTTCTAGGAAAAAAAAAGAACATGAAAACATATAACAAAGTAGTCTCGCATCTGTGAAGAATCCAAAAAGAGCTACAAGTTGCACTTATCAGTCATTAAATCTTCTAAATTCCCACAACAAGCCTATAAAGTAGGCACTGTTATGTTCTCAGTCTAGAAACATGGGAAATGAGACACGGAAGAGTTGGCTAGGAAAGCCAAGGTCACAAAGCTCCGCAGTGGTGGCATCAAAATACAAACCAGGCAAGCCAGTCCCAGAGTCCATGCTCTATACCACTCGCCTTCACTCCCAAACACATGAATTGGGGAGCCAACTGGAGTCCAGGAGGTGGCAAAAAGTGAGGCCCACCAGGAGAGCAGGACTTACCTTCTGTATGATCTCGGGGGTCATTCCCACCAGCTCGCCCAGATCCATTGGCTCACCTGCACCCTGGGAGAAGAAAGCTGAGTGTGAAAGGTGCACAGTGCCATAGACACCTGAGTTAGGAGCACTCTGTGGGCCGCTACACACCTGGGCTGTGGGGGGGGGGGCAACACTCACCATGATACTTGGTTGTGAGCTTGGCACAGCCTGGGGCACGATGAGACCAGCCTGCGGTTTCAAGGTAGCCAGAGCTAAGGGAAAAAACAATGTTAGAAACAGGATATCACAAAGCAGGATCAGCCCAGAGTGGGGGGTGGCGGGGGAGAAGGGCACCTTCTCGGGCAGCAGTGACTTCCTTGGTGAGACGGGCTATGACACGGCAGGCGGCATCGTGCTGGTACAGGGCGTGTGACAGCTCCTGGCGGGTTGTCTGCAGCTGCTGGCGCAGAGTAAAGCTGTGCAGCATGACCGCGTCCTGGGTGGGGGAGATCACTGTCAAGTGGTGAGGGAGCAGGACGCACCCAGCAGAGCCAGCCCTCAGGGAGAGGATGCCGCCTCCTGTCCCACAGCTAGACCAGTATCAGTATCAGTATCAGTGGACCCAATACCAACTGAGAGGCCCTGAATGTGCTGGCAGACACTGCTGAGCCCCCTCACGCCCCCACACTGAGCACTGGCCCACGAGCAGGGGAGAGCCGGCTCCTTCCCATTCCCGCCTTCTCTGATTTACCAGTCACGATGGCACGCTGGCACCTCTCGACAGGGAAATAACAATCGCTGCTATTTATTGATCGCCCTCATTGGGTCAGGTACCATGCCAGGCAGTTCCTGGAGATGCAGTCATTCGCTCATTCCTATTTCTAGACCACCTACTATGTGCCAAGTGCTGCACTCAGTGCTGAGGATACACTGACGAATAAAACAAATCCTTGATGCACAAAGTTTATCTTCTAAATAATGCTCCAGCCTCCCCATCCTCAAGTCCTGGTCCCGGGACATATTCTCCTCAAGTGGGGAACCAAGATCCTCTGGGAACTCACCCACTCATCCTGCAGGGCTTTCAGAATGGCCGGGATGCTGGTGGCTGAGGGCGGCTTGGGCCGGATGGGGTGAGCCACTGCCAAGAGGGAAGCAAGTATGAGGGGCCAGGGTCCAGGGCTTCTCCCTACCCCACCTCTTTTCCCTGAGCCACTGACAGACACCAGCTCCTCCTCTGAGCACTGCACCACCTCCCGTCTCTCAGACTCTGAGCTGAGCTGGCCCCAGACAAAGGTGGCCCGCAGCACCTTTGATATCAATGAGCTGCTCCTCAGAGAGAGGCTGGTTGTTGATGGGGTCTGTGCCATTCTCCGCAATGTACTTCTCAATAAGCCGCCGCTCATAGACATGATTAGAGACAGGGGACACGCATGGGTGCTCTGGCACTTCGTTGGAGACTGCAGAGAAAAAGCAAGCCATGAGCTCACAGTGAAAGGGAATCCTGGACCCCTAGGTCCTCACCAGGCATTCTCACACTCCCCCCAAGAGGAAGCTCGACATCTGGCCAGAACATGCTCCAGCTAAGTAACTAGCTTCTGTATTAGTCTCCTGACAGTTAGGCAGTCAACAAATAATCACCAACTACTATGTGGCCACCACCTAGAGAACAGTCAAGAATCCCTGCCTGTCTCATCTTTGAGCAAAGATAGCTGCACACCCCTTCTATTCCACGGCATGGAAACTTTCACACATGAAGCCACTCCAACCCCTGCCATCTGTCTCAATCCAGAGCCCTAGGCAGATTAACAAAGAAAGTGTAGAGTATGAGACCATAAGAAAAACAAGCTCAGTTTCTCCCACAGTCTCACAACACCAAATACTCCTGTGACCTCAGCTATGTGGGGGTTTTCCCCACACACCAAGGCAGTAGTCCTTCAGCAGTGGACGCCAGCTGGGAGTCCTCCCGGTCAGCACTGACACTGCTACCTGGAGACAGCATCAGATCCACAGGCTGAGGAGTCCCACAAGACCGCCCTCCACTTCCGACGCCAACTGCAAGCCCCAGGTTGTTTTTATCTGTGCTTCTGACCAACTGGCTATAAATCGACGTTCCCATGACCCCTTCTTCGGGTCCCAGTAATTTGTTTGCATGGTTCACAGAACTCATAGCAACCGACATTTACCTATTTACTACAAAGGGTATTACAAAGATATAGATGAAGACTCATGGGGTGAGGTGTGGAGGAAGGGGAGAGGAGCTGCCATGCCCGTCCTGGGAACGCCACCCTCCAGGCACAGCATCTCCATGTGTTCCACTACATAGAAGCTCTTTGAAGACACTGCTAATAAAGGAATAGTGATCCTTGTGATTAATCTGACCTTCAGTCCTCTTCCTTCCCCAGACACTGAGGGGGTTAGAGCTGAACTCCCCAACCCTGCCTTGGTCTTTCTGGGTAACCAGCCCCATCTAGAAGCGACTGCGGGGCTGCCAGCCATCAGTCAACTCATTCACATGCCAAAAGGCACTTACAGCCGGGAAGATTCCAGGAAGCGAGTGACAAGCGCTACAATGATACACCGCATCTGCATGGCACACCTGCATGGCTCGTGACTGCATGCCAAGCCCAATTTCAAGCACCCTGCCTATCCATAACTCGCCCTCACAACCCCGACAGGGCATCACTTGCAGGCGTGCCTCCGCAGATGTGCACCCATGGGGGATAGGGATCACAGTTGGTCTCTGGCAAACATCCAACAAACGACTGAGTGACAGCGAGCATGACAGAAAGGACAGGGCTGGGGAACATAAGACTGAAAGGAGACAGCGAGTGTGAAAGCCCTTTGCGGGCTGTCACTTCTTCAACGTGAGGGACTCCTTTTTCTGCTCCTCACCTCCCTTCCTTCCTCCCCCTCTTCGGAGAGGTTCTGAGAGGAGAAGGAAGTGGAAACGGATGGGAGCGCGCGATCGGGGGAAACACCGAGGAGAGAAAGGAAGGTGCCCGCAGGCCGGGACAAAACACCAGGAGCAAGGCAGTCGGAGGCGTGGGGGAAGCACGGACCCAGGGCCAGGGCTCCGTGTCACCTGGCTACGTCCGAGCCGGCGCTGCCGCTGAGCAGCCACGCATCCTCGGGCAAGCCCCGCTCTTCCTGAGCCTTCCGTCCTCACCCACCCGGCCCGGACCTTTATTTCTCCTTTAGGGGACTCTCGGGAGGCCAGAATGAGATCACAGACTCGGAAGCGCGCCGTGAGCCAACAAGGGCTTATAAACGTGCGCGGTTCGCGCTAGTCCTACCACGGCGAGGGGCTGGGAGCCAGACTCCAGGCTTCCAGCCCTGCCTCCGCC